ATTAAGTGAAATACAGTCGCTAAAAATACAAACAAAAATGACAATCATATAAAATGTCCAGATGACATCATAGGAAGACAATAGAAGCCAGACATCAAAATCCATTTTACTTATCAACTATCGTAGAGGCTTGCTATGATGCTCCTAATACTCAATCACAACAGGCAGCTAAACTAAGGTGCATAAAAAAAAGGAACAATTTCTCCATCAGCTTGTATTACAGCAATCTCTTCTCTAAAATGATTTGGAGGTTAGAAAAGGATACAGTCTAGTATAACCAATGATAATGAAAATAAGAATACCTGTGATTGGGACAGATCAGAATGGATGACATCAACTCTAATATCATCAAATTTCAGTTCTTCATAAAGTTCCTTTGCTCGTTCCTTGCTTTGCACAAAGATTAATACTGGTGGGTTCAGACACTACTCCAGCACATAATACAACAAACAAGGCTGTCAAGAGAAATGCTCTAGCTGAAAATACTAAAAGAGATCACATTCAATGCCATTCAAGACCTGGCTGTGGCCTGTTATTGTTATGTAAGCATGTTTTCCATCTTCCAATAATAATTAACAAAAACTAATATTTATTGCAAGATAAACAAAGACCATAACAGCAGTATACCTCTGAGAAGCTTTGACGAAGTGCAAGTAATTTCCCTTCTTCATTTCCAGCAAAAACCAGCCTTTGCTTGATTGATTCTGAGGCAGTATTCCTACAAAATGTTAATAAATGATAAATATTAGAGGGAATTTCTCTCAGTTATGGAAAGAAAGCATTTCATACTTACTTCCTGCCGACTATAACACGAACAGCATCATGCATTATTGTGCGTGCAAGGTCCTCAACGAAATCGGGTAAAGTAGCACTAAACAATGAGCGTATTATTGAAGGATTAGAGCATGCTTTGACCACACTATCAATCTGCTTTAACAATCCAAGCTCAAATAGCTTATCAGATTCATCTAGTACAAGATACTCAACCCTACAAATCAATAGAACTTGCATTAGGAAGCAATTTGAAGGCAAGTTTTTGTGCTTAGCTAACTTAAACAACCCCAAATACTAATCTGGCATTCTGCGGCCTCTTTTGAATAGTTCTCTTCCTGCAGACTATTCTAAGTGGTTTCGAGAATTCAAACAAACAAATTTACTAATTGAATCACCCTCTACTTCTGAAATTTGAAATGGGGATATAGCTAGTACTCAAGATGTCACCTCTTGGTTGAACTCAGGACCGAATTGGCCAAGAATTTGGAATGTTATATCATCTAAATTTCTGTAGTAAAATGACAAACAAAAAAGATCTAAATGGATAGATGCTAGTATAGAAAATCGTTCATAGATGCAGATAAAAAGGAAAAATGCTAAACAAAAATCCGTCAATTTAACAGAAACGTAAGCTAGATGTACATTTTTGGTGGAAATACATGATATAAATCCAGAGAAATATCCAAATTTAAGATGTAAATCATTTTATTAAGAATTTTAATGTGAAGTGTAATGGTTTGCTTGGTCAATGCCCTATGCACTGTCACAGGAACCTTCTGTTCTTTAAGCTCCAAAGCATTAATGTGCAAATCCTATCTGTCTCTGTGACACCTAGAGCATTCAAATTAATAATCAGTTAGACAGTTATTATTAGATACCTGCTTAAATCGATTTGTCTTTTCTTGATAGCCAAATGTAAACGGAGCGGTGTAGATATAAGTATATCACAAGGCAGCTTGGAGAAATCAGCATTTCTTGCAAGCTCTTTAGTCATCAACTTGATACGAAATTTTTTTCCTCTTGCAAGCTTCTTGGACTCTCTGGTTGTCTGAGCAGCTAACTCACGTGTAGGACACAAA